AGGGGAGGGGAGGTGGGTGGCGAGCGGATGGATCGATCGACGAGATTAGGGTGGAAATAGACGCAGGAGCGATCTCGATTGGAGTCGGATTCAAATTCGAGTCGAAATTACGCCCTAGGCGAGGATCCACAGTCGACGATCCGAGTTAGGGTGGCACACACCGCACACGCCCGCGAATTTCGTTAGCTTGCCGCCCGCGTTTTCGAAGCGCCGGTTAGCTGCGCACTGCAGACACGACGCTGTTCGGGATCTGAAGCCTTTTTTTTTCACCCTAAAACTTAAAAAGTGGTCGCGGGCTCTATTGTCTTACAGAGCACACGCCCGCGGGAGTCGTCGGATCCAGATCGAGGCGTCAGGTGTCCGATGGTCGGATTTCTGAAACAACCCACCCACCCCCTCCTTTTCACTCTCCCGATGCAGCCACTCTTCCTCTCTCTCGCTCTTCTTCCCCTGATCCGGTGCCACACCATCTCCGAATGCGCCGCCGTACCATCTCCGGATGCGTCGCCACCGCCCACATCTTCTTGCCCAGCCACCACTCCCACCATCTCCTCACTCCCCTCAGCCTCTCTCCCTTGCCCGTGGGGCTTCAAGATTGAGCAGGTGAGCCGACGGCCAGATCCACGATGCACACCGCTGTCTTGTCGTCGCGGCTGACGGCCATGTCCTCAGATACGCCGTCGACTCCTCGCAAGGTGCCCCTCCGTGCCGCATCCGTGCCCCGCGGTGTGCTATTCGGGTGGCTGCAGGAGCTCCGCATCTCTTGCAACATCGCGGAGATGCTGCCCATCCGCGCGGTCGACCTGGGCCGCAACGAAGGTGCTCAGGTCACCTCCTTCCCCACGTCCGCGCGCTGCGGAGGAGCCAGCCCCCGTGTGTTCTTCTCTGGTGAGCCGTGCCTTCCGATGCTGCTCTTCCGTGTTTGGTGCCGCTGATGCTGAAGCCCTCCCGGAAGGATGTCCCAGACTCCCAGTGCATTAGTTGGTCACAAGGAAAAATCACCACTTCAGGAATCCCCTTCTAACCTGGCAAGTACTATTTTCCTACTTGAGTTGGCTGACAAAATGCCCCTAATTTATGCTCTTAGTGTGTTCAGTTTGTTATTTAAGCTGCCATCTTTTGATCAACGGCTGATAGTGTTAGCAATTGAGAATTGCTAGCTTTTAGTACTCCTTGTCTACTATTTTTCATTGTTGATTGATGAGCCGGGAGAAATTGCATGCATTGGGATAGAGAGGTGCCTAAAAATAATAGAAACTTACATAAGAACTTACATACGGTGGTACTATTAGTTTCTCACGGTCATGTAACAGTAGCTCAAAGCAAGGAGGGTTGTACTATCGACATGGGGCTGTTTTATGGAATGTTGGCGTAGATAACCAGTGCGTACGACGTGCCTCCTAGGTTGTTGATTTGATTGGTGTTGTAGTAGTCATAACATTTTGCATTTTTTTAAGTGGATAGATACTAGACAGTAGAAAGGGTTGATTATTATAGTACCTTTTTTCTGGCGATGTTTGAGAGGAGTGCGGGGTGGAAAGTTGCCAGGCAGAGGCTACGAGTTGCCAGATCTGTGGGCATGAGTTGCCAGATGTGTGGTACGAGTTGTCAGATCTGCGGTTTTTTGAGCTTGACAGTAGTGTGCCCCCCCCTCACAAAACTTGCATAACAATTGATAAGTAGTTGGTTGTTTTTGCTTTTCGACTCGCCCAATGGTTTAGTGTCAGGGGGAAACTCGCCAGGGGGAGGGAATAGGGGGTTGTGTGTCAGGCAAATCACACATGTAGAACAGGCAAGTCACATTCAAATGTCAAGCAAGTAGCATACTCAATACTAGCTGCAGGTAAGCTCTTTTTATTTTTCCCTTTTCAAACACCCACGTGATTTGTTTGACATTTGAGGAGGACTTTCTTGACATTTGAATGTGACTTCCTAGTGTTAAGTATGTGATTTGCCTGATGTTTTATAGGCAAACTCTGTGACTTTGCATGTTTCTCAATGTGTGATTTACCTAACACACAACCCCCTCTCCCTCCACACTTGAAGTTTGTTTAGGAAAATTGTTTCTAAGTTTTTTCAAACAAACCAACCTATAGCTTGTGTATTTCATTGTCCACATTTTTTCCAAATGAACACAAGGTTTCTTGTCTACCCTAGCAAGTTAGAATGCATTAGACACTGCATTGCAGCTACTGATGAGTAGGACTTGCTTGACATTTGGCCGTGACTTGCTAGTGTTAAGCATGTGACTTCCTTGCTGTTTTTTGTGACTTGCCTGTTGTGCATGTGTGATTCACCCGACACACAATCCTTTCTCCCTTACTCGAGGTTTGTTTAGGGAAATTATTTCTATGTTTTCCAAACAACAAACCTATAACTTGTGTGTTTCGATGTCCCCAATATTCAAAAAACATTTTGTTGCATGTTTCCTGTTAAAAGGAACATTTTGTGAAAAGGGTAAATCACCATTCGCACGCCGGGGATGGGAAGGGGAGAGTGCCGAGTTGTGCTTTACATACCACATGCAGGAGGCGGATGTGTGAGAGGAAGGGTGGGGTGTGTGCGGGATAGGGATGCAGATCTATGAGTGCATTTTTGTGCAGGGGATGAGTACGATATGCATGGGACGAGAGGGAGGGGGAATGGGTTTTGATGGTGATATAATCATCATCAGGTTTTTGATAACGGGCAATTTTTGGGAGGGCTTGAGCTGGAAGTTGCCTGGCGGAGGGGCATGAGTTGCATGCTCGATTGCTCGTGTATATGTAATCTGGGAAACTGATAAGCAGAGTACACGAGTTGGACTGCCTCGGGAAAGTGCCAAAAATTGCCCAACACAGAGTAGACAGTTGCTACATCTGCTGGTGTGAGTTACCGAAAGTATTTTTTTCTTCAGAAAAATGATAGCCAGTCCATGCTTGATTTTTTATACAGATGTGTCGCTAGGTTTACATGAAGTTTGATCATGTGTTTAAACTTGCCTAACCATTTTTGTGTATGTACTATTTGCCTCAAAATGATGCAGAACTTTGTCCTCAAAATGTAGTCTCTTGATAGTTCAGAAAGCACACACATATCGGGGGCTAGGCAACTTCAGACAGCTAGACCAAGCAATTGACACACACACACATAGATCAAGCAACTTTAAAACTATTCTAGGCAAATGGCAAAGAACAGAGTGAAAGCCAAGTGCACACATTTAGGGGGGGGGAGGAAGGGTTTTGAGTGTTAGACATTTTATGCGTGTGTAAACAGAGAATTCACAAATCTTTTTGTCCAAACAATAGGCAAGTCATAGATAAACCCGTAGCAAGTCCCATGTAGTTGTCAAGCATCCTATTTAACCATCGAGTACTACTAGCAGTGGAGCAATTGGGCTTTAGTGGAGCATTTGGGCTTTGGTTCAGATGTTGGGCTGTGTGAGTTGTGAAAACTAGGACTTAGGCCTGTCTCCTGACATTTCTCGGGTAATTCGGTGTACTCGGGGTACTTCACGAATACAACCAAAATCACCGATACATGTTCGGTTTTTTAGGATCACCGACCGAAGCTCTAACTGAAGAATTCGGTTTTGGTCTCTTCGGGTTTGGTCACAGTTAATTCGGTTCGGTACTTCGGTCATCGGTTTATATGCCCACCCCTAGGTGTGGAGGCGGGGGTGGGATGGAGTGGGCTGCCCATTACGAGTTTCTACCTTTTTTTTATAAACCAAAACCTGGAGTTTTGCCTGGATATACTATGCAAATTGCTTAGATCAGAGCATAACTTGCCTACAACCACAAATGCATTTGCCCGGGGGACCACACTTGTTGATCCACAGCATATAGGTCCAGATTTTTTTTCCTGAAAGTGTAGGAATTGCCTTCTATCTACTTGTAGTTGCTTCTTACTTCCACTTTTTAATCTTTTTTTTCTTCGGGGCAAGCAAACTAATGAATTCACTGCAAAATCTATGGAAATTGCCTACAAAACAAGTATGAGTTGCTCTTGCCGTATTCGTTGTGGGCAAAGCACAGGTATGTGTCGCAAGCTTCGGATTCGTGTGTTGTTCTCGCCGTATTGGGCGAGCGGCCGTAGTAGTTTGCCGCGACTGTAGGATGGGGTGCGCCTCGGGGGTCCGTTGGTGCGCCGATGATGATGGGGGTTGGGGAGAGCGCTGAGGTGGGATTTTAAGACGACATAGGGAGGCAGATGTGCGAGAGGAAGGGCTTGGGATGGGGTTGGGGACACGAGGTTCATGGAGCGCATCACCGTGTAGGAGAGGGGCGAGATTGATTTGCAGGGGGCACAGGGAGCGAGGGGATGTAAGCTTCTTTTCACTTTTTTTAGTTCTTATGATAATTCAAAAAACACACACAGATCAGGGTTAGTCAACTTCAAAACAGTAGGCAACTACAAAAAAAAAAACTCTAGGCAAATCCCCTACAATAATAGGCAAGTCACACATAA